ATATTCCAGTAGACCTTTCCCCTTATGAGTGAAATTTTGATCTAGATATGCCTGTTTGACAAAAATTCCATCACAACTTGAAAGAGCATCACAAAATTAGTAATATTCCGAAGTTTCGTTGCAAATGTTGTAAAATGCGGATAATACAGCCTTGCGTAGTTTGCCGTTTTTCAGTCATTTTGTATTACAAACAGGAAGTTGGTAATCAGATGATCAAACTGATTATCAATTTCCCATTTGTAATACAAAATGACTGAAAAACGGCAAACTTCGCAAGGCTATATTATCCGCATTTTACAACATTTCGCAACGAAATTTCGGGAATATTACTAATTTTGTGATGTTCTTTCAAGCTGTGATGAAATTTGTGTCCAGACTTGTCTAGATCAAAATTTAACTCAAAAGGTGAAAGGTCTATTGATGATTCCCCTTATTACGTTTTCGTAGCGCTTTGCATTGTGGTTATAGTGGTATCACTGATAATAATAATAATAATAATAATAATAATAATGATTTAATAGCATTTCCACATAGTGGCTCTTCTATGCTACAAGTGAGTTTGATTATAAGATAACAAAGTATACAATATATACAACGGAGTACATAATACGACACAACAAGTATTACAATACGTAGTATGTTGTACATTACAATATTTAACAATTGACATTATTAGTATTTAACAATTGACATACACAGTAAAATACAGTATAGTTATATACACAATGTCAACAGAGTTTACGACGTGTCACAAATTCTGTTTTTGACTAATGTTTTGAAGTACTCGGAGGAGGTTCTGCAATAATCTTTAAATGTATCGCAGTTTCGAATTTCTTCAGGTAAGGAATTGAACACTCGAGCTGCTTCATCTTGGAAGGTTCCAGAGATAATAGGGACTACTAGACGCCGGGCAGATGATGATCGTAATGGTCTTATAGGAATATATTCCTCTAATTTTAAGTATGTAGGCCAGTCATCACAATTCATTGCTTTGTATGCTAATTTGGCAAGATGATAATTCCTACGTTCCAAAATTGGAAGCCAACCGAGAGACATGACATCAGTGAATCTAGCGTACCTATTAAATACAAAGCCAGCAGCAGCGAACTGCACTCGTTGTAAGCGTTTTAATAGGTATTCTGGTACTGGACTAGACACGACATCGTTGTAATCAATTTTTGATAGCACCAGACACTCCGCGAGTTGCTTCCGAATTTTAAATGGTGCCAAATGTTTCAATTTTCTCAAGACGGATAATGTCGCGTAACAACTTGAGATCTTTTTGTTTACATCATCATTCCATTTTAAATTTTGATGCAATGTAGTACCAAGAAGAGCCGCACATTTAGTTCTTTTAAGTTCAATTCCATTAGCATGAAGATAAACAGAACGATCTTCATCAAGTTGGTGCACACGAGAGAGTTGACTAGTCGAGAAAAGCATGACTTTTGTCTTATTGGGGTTAAGAACAAGGTTATTAGAACTAGACCAGGTGGAAAGTTTATCTAGATTGGATTGAATTTTCTCTTCACATGACTTTATGTCAGCTGGCTTACACTGATAAAAATAGCGGCCTCGAATGAAAATATTGAATGTTTCCGCGAATGTTTTGTTGTTGGCTATCGCGCACCTGACCTTAGCTTTTTTTAAAAGTTCTTGCACGGGTCAAAACAAAAAATAAGCCATCTTGAATATCAGTGATACCACTATAACCACAATGCAAAGCGCTACGAAGACGTAATAAGGGGAATCTACTAATCTAGTATTGACGTCAAAAGTGTATTTTGTCCGAATATTCCCACAATCCTTGCGGGCTTAACAATAGAATATACTTCATTTGCATTCATTTGAAGGTCATTTTGTTTGTCCGACGTTTGTGCCATAAATAACAACCTTGATCTATGCTATTTGTGTTTGTTGTTGGTAGTCTTGTATTTGATGGTAAATTAATAGATTGAGAGTTAGTTAATTATGCATGGTCGTATAAAGGGTCAACATTTGTGATGTTGATCGCCGGAAGTTTTCGCCATAGACTGTTAGGATGTACTTAAACTGATGAAAAATAATGTCTGTTCGTTCCAGGCCAGATCGCTTAGTAAAAGTGTTCCAAGAATCGGATCTCGAGTTTTTCTCCCTGCAGTAAGTATGTTTAGAGAAGTAGTACATCAAAAAGTATGTTTAGAGAAGTAGTACTAACTTAATCCTGAAAAATTTCGTCTCATTGCAATATGTCAATCCTATACCCAAGCTTTTGATCGGACAGTAACGATTTTTCGATCGGTAAATTTGACTCGAGTGTGTAAGTTTGAAAAGACAGACGTATATTTCAGATACCGTGTTACGGATGCTATGAAAGTCTATTTCGCTAGTCGCCACATATTCATTTCCGAAAACAAGACTTGTAAGAAATTGCGTTTTGGTTTTGCAAGAATGAGGGGAAAATTATTCAAATTAATGTGGCAAAATGATCGGCCATATATCCGCGCAGTACAATCAATGCATGGCCAGCCTTATTACATTCTGCTCGGTAAATGGTCTATGGCCGACTGACCAACTCAATATTACCTGGAGTTATAGTTTAATTACTGAAATTGAAGACGAAAAAGTAGATTTTGGAGTCAGTCTGAGGGCTGAGTCATGCATGTGCGGATTTTGAGGGGAGGTGTGCACCTCCCCTGAGATCGTTTTGCACCTCGCCTGGGAATTTTTGCATTAATACACTGATACATATATGTACACTACATGCATACGTCACGTCGTTGACGTTGGCCCGTTCTAAGCCCTAACTTTCCACCTCCTTCACTATTTCCACCAAAATCCGACAGTGGCCATTTATTCTTTGCAGTAGCGTACACTTTGTCTTTGCGAAATATTATGGTGGCTGGTCAATTGAGGTTGCCACAATATCAACAACGCTTTTTGTTGCTGGAAATCTCTGCTCTTTTAGCCCCTTACGGACAGGCAATTTTCTCATGACAAGTTTCCTTGACACTTTTTATTTGCTCGTATGCAGCATGTACGGCAAAAAATTGACAAGTTTTCCTTGCCAAGGGTCCTTGTTCCATATAGCTATAGTCATGTCAGCTTTTGGAGAAGGAAAATTTGTTCGTGTGTACTACGGCCGCCAAGGAAAACTTGACAAGTGTACAAGAAATATTTCTGTGGTTTTGGCAAACAAAAGGCGGCCTTGTCGTGAGATAAATGTTTAACAACACTCCCTGCACACGAGCAACAAAACTTTGTCAATGGAAAAATTGTCAAGGAAAACTTGTTGACTGTACACACGAGAAAGTAAACTTGTCAATGGAAACTTGTTGACTGTACACACGAGAAAGTAAACTTGTCAAGGGAAACTTGTTGACTGTACACACGAGAAAGTAAACTTGTCAAGGGAAACTTGTTGACTGTACACACGAGAAGGTAAACTTGTCAAGGAAAACTTGTTGACTGTACACACGAGAAGGTAAACTTGTCAAGGAAAACTTGTTGACTGTACACACGAGAAAGTAAACTCGTCAAGGAAAAAAAATATATATTACTTTCTTTAAGGAGGGAGATGTTATAATTAGAATATTGTAATTCAGTAAATAGTAATTAGCAATGCAGACTGTGGGCGTACCACAGGTATATAATAGCTTGTGCACTTAGGAATAGGGTCAGTTTAATAAAGTATATATAACGAACGGGTTCATGTTTCAAAACAAAGGACAAGGGAAACTTGTTGACCGTACACACGAGAAGGTAAACTTGTCAAGGGAAACTTGTTGACTGTACACACGAGAAAGTAAATTTGTCAATGGAAACTTGTTGACTGTACACACGAGAAAGTAAACTTGTCAAGGGAAACTTGTTGACTGTACACACGAGAAAGTAAACTTGTCAATGGAAACTTGTTGACTGTACACACGAGAAAGTAAACTTGGCAATGGAAACTTGTTGACTGTACACACGAGAAGGTAAACCTGTCAAGGGAAACTTATTGACTGTACACACGAGAAAGTAAACTTGGCAAGGGAAACTTGTTGACTGTACACACGAGAAAGTAAACTTGTCAAGGGAAACTTGTTGACTGTACGCACGAGAAAGTAAACTTGTCAATGGAAACTTGTTGACTGTACACACGAGAAAGTAAACTTGTCAAGGGAAACTTGTTGACTGTACACACGAGAAAGTAAACTGTTGTCTTGTCTTTTAGGTGTCATGCAACAGTTATCTAAAAAGCTTACAGCAAGCAGACTTTGATATTTTCAACTCAAAACTACATCAAAGAAACAATCTTCTTCCAGTCTTGCTACTCAAAGCTTTGTGGAGCAGAAGGTTCTGAACAAGGTATCATTTTAATATTTTTCTTGGAATACTTTATATACGTCCGGTTATATACCGATGGCCCGGGTCGATCGCTTGCAAGGTCGATTGCGTATTGTATGTACATGCATGGTTCGCTGATTTGGGTAGCTGAACGGGATGATTGCCTTGGAAAACCGGGAACGATATCCCAATTTGGGCCGCTTTTAAAGCGATCAAGCAATGTCCCCAATTTGACCATTTCAAATTCAAGATGGCGGCGAAGATGAAATATTCAGACAGAGATAAGCGCAAAGACTACAAGAACTGGCACAAATTTGGTGCAAGAAAGTTTCGAGAAGCCAAAACTCGGCATAATTAAATATTAAACCTTTCAAACGCCTTAAAATATTCAAAACTTGAAGGCATGATAATTAGGTATCAACTTTACAAATGATATCTTTTGTACAAGTTGTGTAACATGTAATAATCGTCATTAATTAATCGAATCAATCGATTCTATTTATCAAATTATAAGAAAATCAGGCCAGGGAGTTAGGGGACTGTCGCTACTGCATCATATCTTAGTACTATGCCCTCGATATCTTGATGGAATCGAGTGTATAGTTTATATGGATTAAGATGCCATTTTTTCCAGTATCAAATTGCGATGACAAGTGTTCAAAACCTATAAAAATCTTTTTGGCGTTCTTCTTAAAATTACTTTGTTTTGGCTTTATTTTGTAGTTCACACAATTAGCAACCTTTTTAAATGTATCTGGCGGTTGTGAAACACAGAATAATAGTTAAAGGTGATCTACAGTCCGATCTGCGCATGTGCACAAATGAGCCCACTTTTTATGATACAAACAGTTTAACCATGTTTTGAGTTCTCGAAAAGCCTGATTGTTGTTTCTAGATCATTTATTATACTCTAGAAGCTTGAAAATATAAATAGTTGTCGAATAAAGCTCAATATTTTGGACACAAAAATGTAAACAAAGGCTTTGTTTACATACGGACTGTAGATCACCTTTAAATATTGTCAATTTAAATACAATTGTCATTGATGCTGTAAAATTGGCGCCATATATTTATACTTAACA